CTGGTCTGTGTGCTGCCATAGGATTGCACTGGGGTAGTGGTGGCAGTAGTAGTAGAAGGGGGCTGTTGGCCGCGCACCGGGTAACTTACACCATCGCCTAGACTAGAATAACAACAAGAGAGTACATATTCTTAAAGGCATGACGCAGGGAATGGGATTGATGGAGGTTGCTTATGATGCGTTGATGACCAGTACACAACATCCACAATTATTTCAACTCTATAACTGCTAAAGAAGTTAACAATGGCATACATTACACCAATAACAATAATGACAAAACTAACATTACATACATAAACAGAGAACTTCTTTGGTAACGTATCTTTTTAACGGGACAGTTATCTATATTTTTAAAACTTTTATTTCTGCTTCTATTCTGTGATTAAAAACACTTACCCTACAGACTACTTTTCAATTACCTCATATGTATTCATAAATATAAACTTAACTAAATAACCCTTATCACAGGACCACCTCTGAAAACAAGTGCTGACTGAATACTTCTGTTTGGAGTTGAATCTCCAAAGAAACTTGAGATTAAGATGCTGGACCCCTGCTATTGCATTATCACTATTTTAATACTTCATTAACATCTACATATACTAAAAATAAATTTCAAGACAATCTATTCTACAGTTTATAAGAAAAACAAGCTTAGCAATCTGCAAGTATTGCTACTTGTTATGCTTAATGAAAGCTCTGTGCAAGTGACATGTGTTTGGTGGCATAGTGCATTCATTCCTATTAAAGTATGGACTAAAGTGTCAGGACCTACCTTTATTACATCTAACTAATGCTTCCTCATTCAAATAAAAGTTATAAAGTATGTTCAGCAACAACTCTGCCTAGACAAGGTTACTATTTTGACTACCACAAACTAAAAATTGACAAACACTCTGACAACTGTTACTTAATATAAGTATATAATGCTACCATTTACATAATGATTAGAGAAGGAAAATTAAAATATCTTCTTTCTTTTGCCACACAATTTCTCAATTAACAGAAACTAAACAATGTTTGTTAACATATATTAAGCAATGATCCCCAGGAAACATCACTTATTCTCTATTCTCTTATTCTTTCAATTAACATCCACATTATTTCCTAAGGTGTAATATCAATTTTCACAAGCAAATCCTTTTAATATATTAATCAGCAGAATTATTTAATTATCTATTTAGGATGCTATTATTTACTAAAACTTGCACATAAATAATATGCTTATATATAAAACATCAATTTCTCATTATACTGCCAGACAAAAAAGAATGTAAACAAATTTAAGGATATTTTTTAATGCAGCATGTTCTATTTTGTTAGCGAAGACTGATTATGGCTTATACTGAATGCTCCACAGCTGATAATTGTGAATTAGGTTAAATAGTCAGCAATACCTGCCTGTAATAAATACCACCTCATCCTACTGAGACAAGAGCAACATGACTACAGTGACAAGCACACCAAGTAAGGGAAAGGGAATGCCTAAGAGAATGTGAGATCATAAAAAAAAGAAAAAAAAAAAAAAAAGAAAAAAAAAAAAAGAAAAGGGAAATTTAAAATATAAATCTAATACCTGACATAAGAAGTTCACCGGAATTATGAGCAAAGTATCTTAACTGTTAAAAGGGAGCAATCGACTAGTTGTGCCTTCCCATGTGCAAGAAGTGTAAGAAATTAATCAATCTTATAACAGCGAAACTTCACAAAAATAAATCAAATTAAGTATAAACAATACCAAGGAAGATTTATTTCCAATACCATAGAAAATCTACTGCATAAAGCACAACAACCACACATAACACACATACAGAAGGCTCATTATGATGAGTCGCAAGGCCTCCAGCTGGGAAAACTCCTTCATTAGGATAGTGACCATGCAGCTCCAAAGACATTACACAGTTCTTAAGTCCTTTCTTCAGTATTTATAAGTTTCAGCTTTCCCTTGTGTGTATAAATATGTCATGACCTCACCAAAAAAAAAAAGTGCAAGAAAAACAAATGTATATTCTATATATATATGGACCCTTTTAAACTCAAGAATACAAAATTATTACTTTAATACACTATGTGGTAACCAAACATGTATTGTAATATGTAAATCCTTTCAATCTTACCTTCAGGAAATTTAGCCAAACCATAAGACATTATTGGGATTAATTATAACGTTTTAATGTTTCATATCAGAAAATTTATGTCCATATTGAACTCATTCAGGAATATTATCTGCTACAACAACTTCTGCATAGAGTAAAAAGCAGACTGACTCTTAAGAATGGAGAATGACCCTTAAAAGAAACTCCCAAACATTTGGCTGTTTCCCTGATAGTAAGTATAAATCTGTTTTCCTTTGGCATGAGTCTCAGGAAGTCTGGCACACTCTCACTCACTCACTCACTCACTCACTCACTCTCTCTCTCTCTCTCTCTCTCGTGCTAATCATCCCCATGCATGCACCTTTGTGCACACATGCCTTTCTCTTTATACACACAACTCAAAATCTGCACACAAAACACACATACAATGCAAGCATAAACTGAACCTTTCCCATAAAAAAACACAGCTCCCACTACATACTCTTTAGTTAAAAAAAAGACAATTTGCTTAACAAATAATTTCACTTCAAGTATTTGTGTAGACCACTTTTCCCCAAAATTCTTGCTTAACTAAAACCAAATACAGTGCCCTTACAGTGGTGCATATCCATCTGAGGATAGATATTTTCTCTGCAACTTAAATGCATAATTAAGCTGGCAAAATATGATAACAGTAACAAAAAATAATAGATAAGAAAAAAGTAGTAAAAAAAAAATCACTAATCATAATTACTGTTCACATTAGTCTTGCAAATAGAAGTACAACAAACCTGTTTTGATGGTTGGTACATGAACATTAAAACAAGTTTGGTAAGGAAAAAGTAAAAATAAAAACACTAATAATAATAATAATAATAATAATAATAATAATAACTGATGATGATGATGATGATGATAACATTAACAACAATAAAAATAACAATAACAATAATAATAATAATAATAATAATAATATTAATAATGATAATGATGATAATGATGATAATAATAATGATAATGATGATGATGATGATGATAATAATAACTACAACAACAAATAATAATAATAATGACAAAGACATACTCAATAATAATAACAATAACAATAATAATAATAATAATAATAATAATAATAATAATAATAACAACAACAAATCAAGAACAATATAACTATTATCATTGTTACTATTATTATTATAATGATCATCATCATTACTATTATCAATTACCTCTTAAGTGATAATGAACATGAAAATCATTAAAAAAAAAAATAATGAAAAAAAAAAAAAAAAAAAAAAAAATCAATAATACTTATCAGAAGTAATCAATAATATACATCCAAACAACCACTGTACTCACCTGGTGGCTACCGGCAGGAACCACAACTTCTTGTTGTCACCAAACACTTCCAGAAAGTTGTTGTATGCACCCAAGCTAAAACCATCTTTGTCTTGCACCCATGTGTGACTCAGGCGGAAGATTGGTGCACGGAAAGACTCTGTTTGATATATGAGCTTTCTAAATCATTCCATTCAATTGTCCTGCTGTGCTAAAATCTATTTACTTCTCTTTAAGTGTTCTTTGTTATATGCAACATTGAACATTGGGATCAAAGTATGTATCATGTATTATACTAGTTGATCATATACAAGTACCCTAAAAATACAGAACTATTGAAACACTATGTATCAAAAGACAACATACAGACCCAAGTACAGTCCTAATTAAACCCTGGCCTCATATTGTTCACTGAGAACACAAATAATGTCACAATATACTATCCTACAGGTAAATCTAGCCAGCAATATGTGCTACACTGATATAAAAATTTAAATATAGTGCACTATTGCTGTCATCTATTTTATTATATCTGTATATGCTATTAAGAATAGGAAAAATAAGGTGGGATTATTTAATAAGAAACAGAACACCTGTCGTATTGCAGTAATCATGAAAGACTAACATACTTATGTTATCATATTCCATAAAATATAAAACAGATTTTCTGACCTTTTATACAATTCTTTTTTTTTATCTATCTACCTTTTCTATTTCT